CAAGAGAGGGAAGGAGGGAAGGAAGGAACAGAAGGGAAGGGAAAGGGGGGAGGGATGGAGTAAAATGAGGGAGACAGGCAAGGAAGGGAGGAAGGGAGGAAGAAAGATAAGGAGGAGGGAGAGACGGAAGGAAAGGAAGGAAGGAGAAGATGGGAAGGAAGAAGGGGGACAGGGTTAGATGGAGGGAGGGAGGAGCGGAAGGGAAGGGAAAGCGGGAGGGAGGGAAATGAAGGACAGAGGCAAGGAAGGGAGGGTGGGAGGATATATGTATCTATGTATGTATGCATGTCAGAGATATGTTGATTGTTCTCTCACTGCCCTGTTTGCTGCCTGTTTTCTGCTAAAGCAGAAGGACCAAACCTTGGCAACTTTCAAGACGTGTGGACTTCAACTCCCAGAATTCCCCAGCCAGTTGAAGTCCCCAGGTCTGAAAAGTTGCCACGGTTGGACACCCCTGTGTAAAGGAAGCCCGGACAGATATATTCTTCGCTTGTGATGTTCTGCAAACTACCAAGAAGGTGATGGGAAAGATGGATGGGGAATCCTGGGAATTGAAGTCCACCCATCTTAAAACATGGCTGGCTGGGGAAATCTGGGGGTTGACATTCATCCACTTTGCAACTGCCAAGGTGGAAAAATGTTGCTGTAAAGACATACCTGGAATTCAGCAGCATTGGTCCCAAAGACATCTCCATACAGAGGCTTCCCAGTCTCATCCACAGGTGGTTTACCCCAACCTCCGGCGTGATATCCAAACGAGCACCCCTACAGAAAACATAAATCGCGGTGTCAGTTCTTTGGCAGCTGCTTAAAACTAGCCAGGATTTTGCGTTTTCGCATCATCTTCTTAGGCACGATACATTGAGAAGTAGAGGTTTAGCAGAATTTCCCATTCTGAACTAAGACATCTCCTTGTACATTACAGCAGATAATGTTTAATTGCTTTTGCTTTTTTGCTTTTATCCATTGTTACTGAAGATCTTACAAAGGGGCGGAAAACTAACACAAACCAACAAAAAGAAAAAGCAAGAAAACGAGAGCAAATGGGCAAAAAATAGTCAAAAGGACTGAAAGAATAAAAAGAAATCCAAAGAGCGAACTTCTAATAAACACCAAATATAAATATAAATAAAGGGATGTCTTACTCTACGATTACAAAACAACAACCCCTCACTCTAATCCAATATCCAGCTTTTTCTCCTCACAGAAACAACAAACTGTTAAGCGCAATTTCCTCCATTTTATACAAAAAGCCTGTAACAGATTTCCACTCGACTATAGACAGGGGTCCTTGGTGCTCTCTGAGCTTGTTTTCTTGCGGACATTTTATTACCCAACCAGGTAAAATCATGAATGCTGTGTGATACATCAATGATGTTACTTAGCTTAGGTAAGAAAACATCTTTAAGAAAACAACCAAGCTCAGAGAGCATCAAGGACATGTAAATTGTCTTCCTTCTCTAATCAATTTTTTTTTTTTTTTACAGGATCCAACCTGGGTTGGTCACCGGGACCGGAAGTGTCGTCTTCCGAGCTTTCGGACTCGTACCGGAGCCCATCCTCAGGGAACTTCTTTCTATCCGTGTGCGTTCTGCCCTGGGCTTCCCCCAAAAGCACTAAGCAAACTCGGTGTTCCGGCAAAACCTCTTTTATTAAATGTATGTGAATTTATTGCATTCAGCCAACGGCCTGGCAAACAGTCTTGCAAAGGTGTAATTCTTAGCGCAGTCCTTATCTATCTTGGAAAGCTGCCTGGAAAATATTTCCAAACGCAGTGCTGACAAGGAAGGGCTTAGCGCAGAGTCCCTAGGATGCACAGACAGATCTTCACAATGATGGAATGAACTGTTTCCTGCAAAAGGCCCCCTCCTCTTTTAATCCTTAAAGGTGGGGCCATTCATCGTCCACCTGTGCCCTTACTCCCACTTTAATTGTTCCTTCTGTCAGGGGTCCGGTAGCTACCCCCCCATTTAAATCATGAGTCTCTAGCCGGATTTTCAAAGCTTAAAGAAGATTTATTAGGAGTAAACATGCTGGTGCTACCTGAGTGTAGCTGACTCTGAGACACATCGTTCATTGTCACCCTTGACCCTGGTTTCCCCCCACGCCCCCTGGGCGTATCATAATGCATGTTCTCCAATGAGACACATCCATAGCCAAGAGTCAAATCATGCTCTCCAGTTAGAATTTTGCACGCATGCGGCCACCTAGTTAACTATCTTTGAAAACATTCATGGCATGCAAGCTGCCACACTGCTCCCCCCTCCCTTTCTGTTGGCAACTCTAAAAGACCCTAGACATGTTTTATGAGTTGACACCTTCCTTTCGGTAGCTCTGCACGCGTGCCCGGTGGGAACTGGTTCCAGAAGCTCCTCCGCTTCACTGCTGACCGAGCCTGAAGACAGCGGATGACTGCCAGTCTGCCCTGGCCCCATCTCTGCCTCTGACGCAGAGACCTCCTCTGAGCCGGGGGGCTGGACTAGGTGACCTATAAGGTCCCTTCCAACTCTGATTATCTGTTATCTGAGCCTTCCTCAGTCTCCAGGACTGGCCCAGGTTCCTCCCCTACTTCCTCGCTGTCTGACTCTGCTGCCAGCTCTGCCAGCCATCGGCGGGCCACAACAGCGGGCGCCGTTCTGTGTGTGATACGGGTGCTATAAACATCACACACAGAACATCACACGCTCTGCTAGAGAGTTCTCTGAAGATGGCTGCAGCCCGAGACTGAAAGCTGGGAAGACAAAACCTCCGGTCCTGCAACACTATCCCGGGACACGTAAGATTTGCCTTTTATTCATGATTCTTATTTTAATTTTCCTTTCCGACAATCTTCCTCCAATTCAGCAAAGCAGGTGGGACTGACCGCTGACTGTTGAGCTAACAGGTTCTCAAAACCTTTCTTGGTTTTGCAGAATGCGAGGCAGGCTGTGACCCTCGACAGTTGGAAGAAGTTAACTCCGAGCATGTTAGAAGGCTGACTCACCTCTGGGATGGGAGAATTCAAACCCGGGATTTTCAGGTTGGGGTAGGAAGGCGGTGGGCCATAGCGCTGCATGGCGATCAGCCACGGAGGGGGAACTTTGTGGGCGTTCTTGGAGACACGAGAAAAAAAGGAAGAAGACACTGTTAGCGACAGAATTCACCTCCTTGCCTGACTTCTGTGCAACCATCCCAATCCTAAATATCTGTGGAGACTCTCAGTCATTTGGGTCGTGCTGGTCCCAACTCGACTTGTTTTTTCTTTGAAGACGTTTCGCTTCTCCAGCTCTGACTGGATGGTGGGGGAGGGAAGGATTTGTATTCCTTGCAGAGCACTGATCATTTGCGTTCTTTTAGAGAGCCGTTGAGGCCACTTGGCCCTCTCTCAACAGAGGAGGGAGACGACCTCATCCATCTCCAGTCTACAACACAGTCCTTTCAGCAGTTCCAAGGAGGCTCCACACCCATTTGCACCACTCAAGTGACCCCGAGGACTCAGATAAACCTCCGAGTGGCCTCAACGACTCTCTAAAAAGGATGCAAATGACAAGCTGCCTGCAAGGAATATAAATCCTTCCATTCTCCACCATCCAGTCAGAACAGAAGAAGCTTCTTGGAGAAGGAAAATGTCTTCAAAAAAAGAGTAGAGGAGAATTCAGAGCAGGGTAGATATAGAGTAGAATAGTTTTATATTTCTTGTTCGTCTCCCAACAACTTACCGGCCCAACGGGCATCCCCAGCGCGCTGCGCAGCTCGTCCGAAAGATCTCCCGGCTTCTTCTCCTTCAGACGCGTCTCGAACTCTTTGCCCTAGAGGAGGAAGAAGAGGAAAGGGGAAGGACTTGGCAAGGGAGTTGCCCCGTTAGCTTTGCTCCCATCCAGTTGGGGAGAAGGATGGCTTGGTTACCTCGTAGTACAAATCGCCATGAATGGTCAGCTTTGGCTTCGTCTGCCATTTGAAGAAGGCATCGTGCAGTTTCTGGTAATCGATGTCGATCTTGCCCATCTTCGGACGGACTTTCTCCCGCATTTTGGATTTCATGGTTTTTTGTTCCTCCTGAAGAGAAGAAGAAGAGGAAAGTCAGCAAACGGGAAAGGATCAGGTGGGCCGAATCAGGACCACAGGATCAGTTCTAGTTCAACGGATTGATTGTTCATGCTATGCGCAAGGATCTAATCAACTACAGGTAGTCCTTGGACTTACGACTACAATCGAGCCCAAAATTTATCTTGTTTAGCGAGGTGTTTCACTGAGTTTCAGCCCCGTTTTGTTACCATTCTTGCTGCAGTTGTTACGTGAATCACTGCAGTTTGTTAAGTGAGTTTTGCCTCATTTTATGAACTTTCTTGCCACCGTTAAAGTGAATCAACTGCAATTGATAGGTTAGTAACTCAGTTGTTAAGTGAATCTGGCTTCCCCATTGACTTGGCTTACCAGAAGGTCGCAAAACAGTAATTTTACATGATCTTGGGACACAGCAACAGTCATAAGTAGAATAGAATTCTTTATTGGCCAAGTATGATTGGACACACAAGGAATTTGTCTTGGTGCAAATGCTCTCAGTGTACATAAAAGTGAAGATACATTCAGTTGCCAAGCACCTGAATTCTGATCACATCCTCTGCGAAGGTTGTAACTGTAAAAAAATGGTCATAATTCACTTCTTTCAGCGCCGCTGTAACTTTGAACAGTCACTAAACGAACTGCTGTAGGTTGAGGACGATCTGTAACCATCAGCAGCAAATTGGTGTCAGATAAAAGAGTTAACAGACTTCAAGAGAGGATGGTTTTGGACTGTTTGTGGGAACGTAATGATTCTAGGCCGGTTCCTCTCTTGACCTCACCACTCTCCGCCTGTCCTTCAACAAAATCACATTTTTATTATTAAATAATTATGTCTGCGGAGGTTCTCGGTCATCCAGGCCAGGGTTGTCCCAAAGGTGTTTTTTTAGGAGGCAACTGGACTTTCTTTGTTCTTCCTTGAAGATGTTTCGCTTCTCATCTCAGAAGCTTCTTCAGTTGATGAGATGAGAACGGAAGAAGCTTCTTGGATGAGAAGCGAAACTTCTTCAAAGAAAAACCAAAAGAAAGTCTGACAAAACACTTTTAGGATATTGGATAATGACATTAAATCATATTGATATGGGTGGAGGAATAACTGAATTGGAGGAACATGTTATTCTGTATTATCTCCTCTATACAGGCTTTCACCAAGAATTATTATTTCCATTCTTTCCTAAATCACCTGGTTGTTCTGATTTGTTTAATCCCAGGAAGTTATTATCGGCTCTCTCTGATCGTATTTCCTTGATTGACAGCCAAGTACTGTTGTATAATCTGTACACTACGCCCTAGTGTTATCTCTAAACCTTTTGCAGATATTTTAGCATACCTGTATTTTGACTTTCATCTTAATTAATTGTGGCTCTTGCGTTTTAATTGCTGGTTTATGATTGAATGAAGATTTGGTTTGAAGGTTTTCCAGTGCTGTCGTTAACTCTGAGTGGTCATTAAACGAATGATTGGGGGTCATTGGTTTGTATACAGGTAAGTCCACAAGTTACAACAGTTCATTTAGGGACAGTTCCAAGTTAGAACGGCACTGACAAAAGGGACTTATGATGGGTTTTCACACTTACGACCGTTGCAGCATCCTGAGATTCAGATGCTTGGCAACTGGCACGTATTTATGACGGTTGTGGCTTTCTGGCAAGCAAAGTCAATGGGGAAGCCAGATTCACTTAACAACTGTGTGACTAACTTAACAACTGCAATGATTCACTTCACAAATGTGGCAAGAAGAGTCGTAAAATGGGGCAAAACTCACTTAGCAAATCTTTCGCTTAGCAACATAAGTTTTGGGTTCCATTGTGGTCATAGGTTGAGGGCTAAAGGTACTACCAATACTGTGGATACTTTTATTTGCTTACTAGTTCCATACCTGGGCTTAGCTACAAAACTATGTGGTCGGGCTTAGTTTTTGGGGAGGAAAATAAGGGGGAAAAATTCTGCCTCTGCCTACCAGCATTCATTGGTATTCATCTGGCTAGCGTCCTGTCAGTGTGTGAGAGTTGAGGGCTCTTTGGAAACTGAAAGAGTATTTGCTGTGTGAGCAAGGAGACAGCAAGGAGCCTGGGCATGGCTTAGCTCAACCGTTCTGTACTAAAGCTGGTTGCTGCTGTGAAACTAAAACTGAAACTGAAACTCCTCTCCTCTGCTTGTGTTTTGCATTTGGAAGAGATTTCTTTTCAGGTGGGGAGAGGGAGTAGAACTCCTTAGCATCAGATCGTCTTAGTAATAATATAGGAAATAGTAATACTCTGATGGTCATTTCGAAAAATCCTTTCTTAGTGAGCATCTAGAAGCCAAGAGGAATCTACATGCCAGTTTTCAAGTTTGTAGGCTTTACGGTTCTGGAGATTTTGTGATGTGTGAGTGGTATTTCGCTTTTATATATACATATATAGACTTAATTTAATTTGCTAATCCAATTTTAGCATGACCAGTCTGAATTCTGACCCTCTGAGCTTCCCTTTCATGCAAACTTCCAAGACTGTGGTCTTGGAACAGCTCTTTGTGTATATGAGTGTGTATGTGTGTGAGTGTGTGTTTGTGTGAACAAAGCTTCCTTCCGCACCTTTTCCTGCAGGGCTTCCCTCATCTCTTGGATCCCCGTGCGCTTAATGAATTCCGGCAGGTCAAATGGCGGCTTCTCGATGCCTCTCTTCCCCTGGAGATATTTGCGCTTGAAACACCAGTGGCGGGGCACGGGGACAGAGTTGCGGGTGGCCTTCAAGTGGACTAGCAGCTTGGGATCCTGTGCCGTCACATCATGCATCTCCACCACATCGGGGCGGGCCACCAGCTACAGGGAACCAAAAAGCCAAAAATAAATTAAACAAAGTCCTGGGTTTTTCAACTGTCTTTTTCTCTTTCTTTCTTTCTTTCTTTCTTTCTTTCTTTCTTTCTTTCTTTCTTT